TGCTTAAGAGAACTTCCATGCTGTGCCGATGTCCTAGCTGCAGGTCAGCATAACACAAGTGATAAAGGGATATAGGAGTACTTATATGGGTTCTTAAAGGATTGTGGCTTTAAATAGGTTCCCAACTCTGGAATTAATACAGAATACTCAGATAAAAGGTTGTGTACAATAGCTTCACTTCAAAGTCCATATGAATAAACTGATAGTGTGTAGATAAATCGCCTTGCCAAGGAAAATTTGTGGTGCTGAGTAAGCAAGAACAACAAGTCACTGGCAATAATCAACCGATGGGTGGGATTCCTTCTTCTCTTTAGACCTCCTTGTTTTACTATGCTTAATATTGTAGTTGTGCTTCGAGCCCCAAAACCCATCCCCCATGGAAATAAAGACACAGTGGAGACAGAATTTAGTTGAAAGGTTAATGGGCAAATTTTGGCCACAACTTTATTAAATACATAAGTGTGACTGGTATTGGCTTAGGCATTGGTATCAAAACTATAACTGGCTCCTGCCCACCCTGCAGCAAGACCAGAAGGGTAAACAACCAACAGGGGGAGCTCCATCAATGTATATTGACTAGTGTTCACCCCTGGGGTTCCCTGGGGTCCTGGCATGTCCCTAGCCCCTCCCTGGGCTTCAGACAACATCCAGACCCCCCAGATTCCTTTAACGGAATACCCTATTAATTGGAGGGGCAGGTGATGGCCGCACCTCCCTTCCCCACATTCCCCTAAACCAGTGCCTAACTGCCAAACCTTACAAAGTTGTGATGATTGCTAAGAGGTAGGCAAAAACCAAGTGACCACAGCCAATCTGCCACATTGGAAAAATTCCTACCCGTTCCAAAACAGGCAACAAACCGAAGTCCAAAGCAAGGCCAGACACGACCTAACTAATGGGTGGGTGGGCGGGTGTTCGGCAGCGCGAAGCAAGAGAGGGTCCCCACATTGCGCTGCCGAATAAATACCCCCAACCTTGCCATGCTGCCGATTGGCTAAAAGCCAGTGGCATAACTGTGGCACCACTGGCTGGAGCGGGGCAAGCCCCACCCACAAGCTGATTGGGGAAGAGTTCCAGGGCCATGCACAACATGGACCCTCTGTTAAGAGGATCCAACTTACATTATTCTGGAATTGCAGTTAAGAGTTCTGTGAACATGTAGGGAGCAGTGGGGATGAACATGGCAGCTTCTCCCTCCCTCTGACGTACCTCTCCCGTCACACTTTAACTGATGGAGGGAAAAGGTAAAGTAGGGAATCTTCTGCACTGATTTTCTAGGGCTCTAAAACAGTTGAAGAGCCACCATGAGTACAGGAGCTTCCTTGCTTCAGAAGCTGGGTCCCATAATAGACTGGCTCAAAATTAGATAAAACAGTAGGTGGTTCACTGTACATCATATTGGTCATAGGATATTTTTTACACAATTTGTTTTGGATAGTCACCAGTATAACCACAGATGGTTTCATTATGCTAGCTCTGTTTTTATTAACACACTAGAGAGTACAAAGAGTATTGCAAGGGAACTGCCAGCCAGGATAATTAGAAATCTTAGTGGATAAGCCTGTTGAATATTATGTGCTGACTTTCACTGGTACACACTAAGCATATCTATTATCTTATTTAGTCCTCTTACTACCTGTAATTTTCTTTTATGTCCCCATCTCTATCACAAAGAGACTCTTCAAAACCACTGACACATTGTCTTGCCCTATTGGCACATGTCAATAGTGCATTGGCACATGTCAAATGGTGCACATGGCGCATTTAGACAAGAAAGATACATTTAACTCACATATTTTTTTGTATGATAACTCAATAGCTAGGGGTGATTATAATTGTTTAGAGACCCTTTAGCTAATACCTTCATATATAAACACTGGACAACATTTCCGTTTTGTGGATATAAGTGGGACTTTATATAAAAACATAATTATCTCATGTGAACCACAAATATAAATTGTAGAAGGTATGTTTTAATAGGGTTAAGAAAAATGGCCACAAGCATAGTTCATAATGACATTTTGAACTCTTTAAATAGGACAGTCTGCATTAGCCTAATTGAATTCTAAGGGGAAAAAATAGTTAATTGATATTTGTGTGCTGTGCTGAAGCCATTCTACTTACATTTGACATGTCATTCTGGGTTGTCATGGTTGTAAATTATGTGTGAATAGAACAAATAATGAGTTTGGGTAATGCTAATCCAGAGGTCAACCCAATTTATTACTGGTTTGTCATAATGCAAGAGCTTTTAACATTTTTGCAAATGTGGTAATAAACCCCCTTCCACAGAAGAGCAAACTTCATTAGTTACTTACCAATCTTGTTGTGAAAAGCACAATCAAAGACACACATTGTGGAAAACAGCATTGTTATAAAGCTAAACAATAGCTTTTAGTACGATAATTACAAATTAGCAGTTAGTGTATTGTTTTCTGTTGTTTGTGTAGGAGCTTGCTACAAGGTGAGGTAATGAAAAATAAAACTTTATTTCCAGTGAGTCCTGGGAGCCTGCACAGGGTTAGTAACTAAGTCCTCTAGCTGGAACACAACTCCCTGTCTGCTCTCCAGAAGCTGACCTCCTGAGTCATAGCTATTTGTCTTAACGGGGCCACTTTTCAGAAGTTTAGTTGATAATGCATAAGTTATAGTGGGTCATAAATATATTGCAGTCACTTTAAAAGCTCATGCCAAACAAATTTTTACAATGCCTCTACAATATTCTAGAGAAGTTGAGATACCATTTTACATAAGTAAGCACCTAAACTAAACCTACAGCAACATCATGCTGCGGTTCTACTGCATACTGTACTGTTTGTAAGCATCCAGCTTTACAGTGTACTCTTCAGGTCTCTCTATTCAGCCCTCTGAACTCTACTTAGGCCACAACTCACACTGGTCCTGCTCAGCACCCTCTGCAGGTGCTTTTGCCTGGCTGGGACATGTTCTTGTGATAATACTGCTTGCTTGGGTGGGTGGATGGATGGATGGAGAGTTTTGTGTGTACAGAAAATATATGGTGTGTGGTGGAATGTAACCTACTGTACAGAGGTAAGAATCATGCTTATTTCTGTGCCTGATTTTGATTCTGGCCTTCACCTGAGCAGTCTGGGGGTGGGTAGGAAAAAATACAGAGCTGTGGGGTTTTCTTTTTTACAACCATCAGTACAGACCAATTGAGTGTCATGCTCACTCTTTCAGTGTAGCACAAGACAGAGATTTACTGTGGAATGATGTTCATGATAAAATACAGCTTGCAAACTGAAGCTGACATGATATTCATGAGTAACAACTTAAGAAATAAAATGAGTAAGGCACTGAACCACACCAGGAAAAAAAATGCCTAGATTTTAGGGAGAGTTTTCTAGTTGTTTGGAATAGCCTGCATTGGCTGTCAAACACATCCCAAGGAACAGTTTAACATCACCTTCTCCATCTGTGAGAAAGGCTTATTTTGAAGAAGGAAACCCCAGGTGGTAAATCGGGTAGCTGAAAAATTAAGTTTTCCCTAAGGGCAGTCTCAAAACTTGAATTTCATCCCAATGGAGTAACTGGCTAATATGTCAGTAAATGGCAGATTAGCCTTCTCTGCCCCCCCCCCCCCTTTAATGTGATTACCAGGCATTCTCTATCAATTGATTTGAACCTGTCTGTTCTGTAAAATTACGCACAACTCATACAGAAAAAATATTATTACTGGTGTGCCTGTGCTTGAGAACAGGTTCTGAATGGTGGTTCTGATGGTTGTCAGAGGTAAATGAATAAGAGCCATTAGGCAAAGTGCTATACAGGTCCTGAAAAAATATTATATAACTGATGCAGACTCTTTCATTTTAGAACCCAGATAGCAGGTCATCATTCTTTCCAATCTTCTCAAGACTTATTGTCATAATTCTGTAAGGCTCTACTATTAGGTGATGCTTGGTACTTTTTCATCCAAATATAGTACTCAGATAAGGGAGAGTGTGATCCAGTTGCCAAGGATGATGGGAATTCATAGAATCATAGAACTGTAGAGTTGGATGGGACCATGAGGGTCATGTAGTTCAAACCACTGCAGTGCAGGAACCTTTTGCCCAATGTGGGGCTTGAACCCATGACTGAAATTAAGAGTCTCATCTTCTGCTGACTGAGCTATGCTGGAGGGCTATCAATGTGTCAAGGGCCATTGTTCATTTTTCCTGGGTTAGAGTATTGGTGTAGGACTGAAAAGAAGGTTCAAGATCCCAACCTGTAAGGTAAAGGTAAAGGGACCCCTGACCATTAGGTCCAGTCATGGCTGACTCTGGGGTTGCGGCGCTCATCTCGCTTTATTGGCCGAAGGAGCCAGCGTACAGCTTCCAGGTCATGCGGCCAGCATGACTAAGCCACTTCTGGCGAACCAGAGCAGCGCATGGAAACGCCGTTTACCTTCCCGCCGGAGCGGTACCTATTTATCTACTTGCACTTTGAGGTGCTTTCAAACTGCTAGGTTGGCAGGAGCAGGGACCGAGCAACGGGAGCTCACCCTGTTGCAGGGATTCGAACCACTGACCTATTGATCAGCAAGTCCTAGGCTCTGTGGTTTAACCTACAGTGCCACCCGCGTCCTGTAGTCACTCTTTTTCAGCCATACTTAACTCACAAAGTTGAGAAGTTAAATTGGTGGGAAGGGACAGAGTTATGTATTCTACTCTGAACTGCTTGGTGGAAGATTGGAATGCAAATATAATAGCAAGAAGAACCTGAAACCGATTATCCTGAAGAAGAAAAAAAGCACCCAAAATCCAAAGCATTGCTTTACTCTGGCTATATAGATGACATCTATTGTTTTAAAACATTCCATTTATTTGAAGGCTGAATATTGAACTACCAGTATCTAGTGGAAGTACTAGGAATCCAGTCTCCTTTGCCCAGATAATCATATGGGACAAGACCTCCATGGATTTCAAAGTAGGCACTGAACATTTATTTCACCAACCCCAATTATCCAAATCCAATTGGCTGGAATACTGTTGGCTCCAGATTGCAGGAACTGGACATGTTTAGCCTGGAGGAAAGGAAAGGGTGGTGGTAGAGGAGAAAATTTGCTGACAGTTTTTAAATATTTAAAAGACAGGGAAAGAGATGGAACAGCTGTTCATTCTATCCACTGAGGACAGAGCATGAAAACAAAGGGTTTAAACTACTGGAACAGAAACTGTTGTTAAATATTAGGGAACTCTTCTCTCTAAGAGCAATTCAGCAGTACAATAAGTTCCTTTGGGAAATGGCACCAACAATATCTGGAGAACTCTAAGCGAGACAAGTGGAGCCTGTGTACACTGTCCCATGTACACCATTCTGTATAGCTACCGCAGCATGTAGTGACCTAGAAGGTCTTGATTGAAATTCCCATGACTAGCACTATTCTTCCACTGGGGATGATGTGGTCTTAGTCCTTTTCTCATATAGGAAAAGGAAGCTCCGATGCTTATGTCATGGGTAAGATTTATGGGCTCTAATACAAGCAACAGGGTAACACAGGAAGCTTTACCAAGTCAGACTATTAGTACTGTATTGTGTACTTTACACTGACTGGCAGTAGTTCTTCTGGATTTCAGGCAGGGGTCTCTCCTAACCTTGTTTAGAGATACCAGGGGTTGAAGGTGGGATCTCCTACATGCCAAAAAAGATGCTTTAAAGAGATGTGGGTTAAGGGAGTTCAGTGATGGTGAGCACTCAAAGGTGATGTAATTCAGAAACCAAACAGGAGCATTCATTTTTTAAATTTTGTTTTGCGGGAGCTCCAGAGTTATCTTGCACGATATTCCGAATGCTGTGAACATTTTTGCGGCACTGCAGTTTACAAAACACACCACTCTCTCATGCTAGAGACTGCCCATCTTGATCTTCTTCATCCTCACGGGGTGAACTTTGCACTTCAGTCATTTGGCATTCAATCTAGCTTGGCAATATGTTCTCTAGGACAGTAACTTGGTAGCATCCAAACTGCTGCAGCAAGCTGTTGTTTTCAGGCTGCTGGTGAAAAATCATTTGTATTTCCTTTTCTACCCAAAATCTGCATTTCCTATCAAATGTGCATGCTTTGTTTGTTTGTTTGTTTGTTGCAAAAACATTGCTCAGTTCTAGGACAGTTCATCTGCCATTCTTCCTAGTTACTAATGATCTAAAATCCTGCCTGTGGAAAAAGCAGATTTACAGCACTGAAACTTTCAGTCATATTTTAAAAGAGTGAATTTTGTCTCTCATGGTAATTTTTAAATGTATAATTCATACAATTTAAGTCACATAATAGGTGCTGTACAGACAGTCTCCTCCTCAGTTGCATTGATGGCATGTGAAATTCAAAGGAAATGAGACTAAAGGGAAGAAAATCTGTGAAAGGATCTCCTTACAGTCATCCCTTCAGAGCACAGGGAGAGAGTAAGCCCTCTTCTGCCCGTGTTAGGGTTGGGAGAAAAATTAGATTCATTTTGCATTTCAAAGTGAACCTGCTGACCAGTTCTTTTCCCCATTGCGCCTAGGAATCTGCACTGTTATCGTCATGTCCACACCACAATAGCAGAGACCTAGGAAATACAGTTTTGTCAAGAGACTAGGGATCTCTAACGAAGAATGCTCAGCATTGCACAGAACTTCTGGGGTTCTTGGTGAAAGCCTTTATCGCTTAAACTGTGCAGTGTACTGTACTACTGACAAGGTCCCTCCCAGACTATACACAGCTTGTATTAATTATGTTAGTGCTAATATGGCCTACAATACTGTAGTGGTTTCATAAACCCATAATTCCTACACACCTTTCCTTGCAGAAGTATAGGAGCAGATAAGGTCATAAATGGAGAATCTATTATGGTGGAACTGCCAGATCCTGTTCTGAGCTCTGGTGGTCTTGTGCTAGGCAACCTGGAAGGTGGTGTGTTTGTTTGGGTGTGTGCGTGCATTTGTGGCTTGAACAAAAAGAAGTAAGACAGTTCCAGTCATGGTACACTTTTCCTACCATGCAGCAGGCATGTCAAGACAATGGGAGTGTTTTGGATCTAGCAGATCCATAGTCTTCCCTGTTCCTCCATGACACCCTGCTAAAATGCCCTCCTTTTGTCCCCTGTGTTGTCTGAGCAGTAAGGAGCAACAGTGGTGGTGCTCTCAAAGGTATCTAGGAGGATGCTTCCATGAGGCACTTTCCACCTCCAGGCAGGAAGATCTGCAAAATGTGTCCACTGGGATGCCCTGACAGTGACCATAGGAGAGCACTCACAAAGAACAATTTCTAGGCAAATCCCCATTTATCTCTACTGTCCTGCAAAGAAGTCATGACACTAGCCCAACTTCATTAACCCTGGCTATTTTGCTTCATCTTACCCATCCACAAATACCACAGACCTTTGTCTTAGCTAGTCCCACCAGAATTAAACAGATCTGAATAACTACACCCTTTCACTCCTGATTAAGCACAAGCTAAATATATAATGTCGCCTTTCACCCACACCACTAATCTTTTAGATCTATGTGTGCAGTGAATTATTTCACTTTGACTTTTAATTTCCATTTTGGGCATGGGATGGTTGTTGGGGCTAGAGCCATCTCCCTGTTTGCATAGAGATTTTAATGTACGTAGCAATTTCTGTATCTCCACAGTGCAGTTTTTGAATTTTAAAATTCACACAGCTCCAATTTATTGAGATACAACTCGCCAAAGAATTTCTAGAAGAGTCCAGTAAAATTTAACCATCTGTGTGATTCTTGCTCTTCATCCAGTGTTGGGACTGTTCTCCTCAGTCTTTATATGTGTGAAGCTTTGGCAGAGAACATGTCGTCTGTGCAGCAGATGTGCTGAAGAATTAAATTACTGAATCCTGCTATTCATAATTAACTCTACAAAGATGTTTTAGGTCATACTGAGGGACTTGTCAGTTTAATCTGGAGACCTCCCAGATATGTTTGGTGTAATCATATTAATCTGTCACCAAATTTGGCACTGTCATATCTAGAAGATTTTAAAAACCACATGTCATATGAAAATTTGGTTGTATTAGATGGGTTGATGTAGATGCAGCTGGCTCAGTCTCTAAAGTACAGTTAAAAATTGGAAACAGCCTGGGGGGATTGTGTTCTCTTTCCCTGTGTGCCTTTTTGCTGAAAAAAAATGTTTATTTTTTATTATATATATTATTATAGCACTGCTCAATCATCTCCCAAGGGCAGTATACGTGTGTGTGTGTGTGTGTGTGTGTGTGTGTGTGTGTGAATATGAATATTTTTAAAGAAAAGAAGATATAAATAAAATGATAAAACAAACTACAAGGGCAACAGGACCTAAATAATAATCAGGCAAGAATAAAACAGTAAAGGATGTAAAAAGCTTGGGGAAATTTAAAAAAGGGAGTAGGGAAGAACTGTGTTGCAGGAGCTGATCTGTCCTTGCGGCCTGGACACTCTCCAGTTCTGCTCCTGGATCTGAACCTGTGGGGAATAATAAATCTAGGGAGGGAAAGACAGCTAGACTGACACTGATGAGTGAGGAGGGTAACACCATCAAGCCCTCTCCTGTGAGGATTCTTTTAAAAATGCTGTAGATAAATAAATGGCGTACCATTACTTAGAAGAACTTCTGTTAGTCTTATACTTCACCTTAGATGGCAGGAAAAACTTGCAGAAGGGCCTACTTTGTAGAACTTAATGTATTGGCAGCTACTTTGGAGATAGGGCCAGAGTCTTATTAAGAACCACCTCCCATAGCCAAGGGTAAGGGCTACATTGCACCTATAGGCTTATCAGTCCATGGCTTAACCAGGGTTTGAATCAGGTTAGCCAACCCTACTGAAATAGGAATCTGGTGATCCTTGTTGTTGTTGTTGTTTGGTTGTGTCCAATTCTTCATGATCCCATGGAACAGAGCATGCCAGGCACTCCTGTCTTCCACTGTCTCCTGCAGTTTGGTCAAACTCATGTTAGTAGCTTCAAGAACACTGTCCAACCATCTAGTCCTTTGTCGTCCCCTTCTCCTTGTGCCCTCAATCTTTCCCAACTTCAGGGTCTTTTCCAGGGAGTCTTCTTTTCTCATGAGGTGGCCAAAGTATTGGAGCCTCAGCTTCAGAATCTGTCCTTCCAGTGAGCACTCAGGGCTGATTTCCTTCAGAATGGATAGGTTTGATCTTCTTGCAGTCCATAGGACTCTCAAGAGACTCCTCCAGCACCATAATTCAAAAGCATCAATTCTTCGGTGATCAGCTTTCTTTATGGTCAAGCTTTCACTTCTATACATTACTACTGGGAAAACCATAGCTTTAACTATACGGACCTTTGTCGGCAAGGTGATGTCTCTGCTTTTTAAGATGCTGTCTAGCCTTACTTGTAGTTAAAGTTAGTGCTGATACATGTATCTTTTAACTGCAGTTAAATTGGAGGGAAGACCCCTAGCAGTAATTTTGCAGTTAGGAGACCTAATGCAGCACAGAATTATGGTAGAACAGTTGGAACTAAATAAAGGCAGCTTGATATGTTGAACTTTATGTATTTCTTTTAACGTTCTCATGCAAAACTTAGCTTTTTCTTCCAGTCTCTAAAGCTCCTGGCACCCTCAAAAAGGCTCTCTCAAGAGTTGGGGGAGAGCTCTTGAGCAGCTTGGGTCATGGTATATCAGTGTGGGAATCTTGCATTAGCAGAGCTCAATGTGCCAAAGATTCCTTTAACCAATTTGAGACAATTTCCTCCTCCCACCTCAGCTCCATAGGAACCACATGCTTCCAGGGGGACCGAATCCTTATGGACAGACTTTTTCTGGTTACAAAGGGGGAGAGGGGGGAGGAAAACGATTGGTTGTGTGAGCTGTCTTATCTTGCAAACCCCTGGGTACGACCCATACAATTTAAAAATAGGTGTCATTGGAATGTCCCTATTTTCATGTGGATTGTTGGAGGGTATCCATATACCATATTTTTCACCCTATAGGATGCACTTTTTCCCCTCCAAAAATGAAGGGGAAATCTGTGTGCGTCCTATGGGGCGAATGCAGGCTTTCGCTGAAGCTTGGAGAGCGAGAGGGGTCGGTGCGCACCGACCCCTCTCGCTCTCCAGGCTTCAGGAAGCTATCTGCAAGCCTGGGGAGCCCTGCGGGAGTTCCCGCAGGGCTGCCTAGGCTGTGGATAGCAGCCTGCTGCCCGGAGCATGGGGCG